CATAGTATATGCTTCACCAGGGCTACATACAGTTTTCCTTCTCCTATTGCCATTCAAGGCTATAGAAGCCAGTCTGTCCTACTATTTACCCATAGTTGGAGGGAGAAGAGAGGGATTCATACCTTTCCCAAGAGTATTAGTACGTAAGTGGATGTAATGAACTTTACTGGAATTCGACCTCGTCTTTCTGAATCCTCAATTCGAACTGCAATCCATTATTCTACCGTATCTTCTTGGCAAGGAAAATGTACATTTGAGTGGCACTTACTGAGAATTCAACGAAACTTGGTTGGTATTGCAGAAAGTCAAATACACTCTTCTAATTCTCGGCTCCAGTACAATTGAAGATATCACAATATTGAAGCTGTTGTTGAATTAGGATACTGATTAATGGATGCCGTGATATGCATTTTACAATGCACATGACCTTCTTCCTACCGGCCACCAAATTTACTGAATCTATTGTCACAATTATCTTATTAACAACTGACCCTTTAATGCCCTGTACTTTCTTTAATGATTGATATGTGCGTAATGTTTTTAATTGTTGTACACAAATATCATCATGACCGGGTGTGGTCATGTTTTTAATCATTTCACCCAAACAACGTAATACATCCACTAAGACGTACAGGGTTACTGAGCGTGAAAGAATATATAAAAAAGGAAAACATTATTAAGGAGAGATATCTTATATGTTTAGGCATGAGAAGAACCATGATTTCCAGTCAGTTATATATTTATTTAACAGCTTTTATTTGAAATCAACCCAAGCAGTAATATACACCCCCCCACCCACAAAAAGAAAATTTGGTACAATTTATTTAATTTTTAGAATTTTTGTTACAGTTATTTGAAACAAAAGCAAAGAATAGAAATTTGTAGTAGTTTAATAGTAGTTTAAAACAGAACAAAGACACAAATTTTAGATGTGGTGTCCAAACTAAAGAAATCTGGCAAAATTGCTTGGCATTTTTTAGTCCACAAGTTGGATGTTCTTTCTTAAAGAGAACAATAACTTCGCATTGAAAATTTGATAACTGCTGCATCCTGAAACAACAAATGTTTAAAAGGTTTATATGTTAATTATTTTTTTAGTCCATTCCTATAGTAAAATACAGAGTGTTTCAAAAAATTTGATATCCTTTGAGATGTAAATATCACAGAAAGTACATGATTAAGGCAAATGAAATTAAAAAGTATTAATGTTGAAGATCATAAGATTTATTCTTCCAAATCTGAATGAGAAATTCAAAAGCATGTGGATTATGTGAACGATTTCACAAATGTTCAATATGCGCCCCGCCTGAGACACGGCATTTTTATACCTGGAAAGAAAAAGATTAAAGATTAAAGAACATAAAAATACAAATAAGAAAAACACAAAAACATAAAGACATAAAAACATAAAACAAACATTAAACATAAAGATGCTATTAAAATTTGAAGTCATTTGAAGGAGATCTAACAAAGTTATTAGATTGCGAAATGATATCAATTTTTTTGAAACACCCTGTATATAGTTAATCTTTTTATATGATACGTAATGTTTTTCATCATATAGTATATCTAAAATTTCCTGTTTTTTTTTTTTTTTTTGTGGGGATCCCTGTAGAACGGCTGAAATCTTTCTCAGGATTCTATCCTTGTATAGTTATGCATATTTTTGCGCCTACCGCCTATATTTTTCTCCTTTTTTTAAAACGGAGCGCCAATTTTATTCTCAATGGTTGATCACCCATTCCCAAAAGTTTCTTTTATGCCTAACACACTCATTATATGCGACTTCTGCTTCTTACATTTCTTGACAGGCGATAACCCAGTGCAATGCCCGTATCTGGCCATCAATAACGAACGAAGCCAATACGATCTCTCACTCAAAGTCATCCAAAAATCGGCTAAAGCTGCAGACGTGAAAGTGTGTTCATATACCTTAACAAAACTAGAATAGATGACATTAGTGCAGAACCCCATACGACGATATATTGAACATCAAATTCTCAAATATGTCACGATCAGTTATTAAATATAAATCCAACTATTGCAACAATACAGCAGTGCATTTAAAAAAGGCCACATCAGGTATGGTGTCAGGGCATTATTACCACAAACCGGAAGTACCCCAACAGTATCACGAGATTTTGATGGTTTTCTGTCATATTGTGGGAGTAGCAGATTGAAACGGATACAGTAACTGTTCCAAACGGGAAGCCTATCCCCGTTGATATCAATCGAAGATAAGTCAGACATATCAAAGATGAAGTGAGAAGAACACTTCAATATCTGACTACAACATGGGTATTAGTCGTAAAACCAATATTTCTATCTGCCTCATTTTGTCACAGAAAAAAGTGCATTACTAGGTATGCATCTCAGAAAAACCCATGACCAGAAAAAAAAGGAAAAAATAAAAATAAATATGATGATTGAACTTCCCGTTCCCCTCTGTGGGATGATCGAGTACCGTGCTCAACTTCCGATCGGCTGCTGCCACTGGGACGATTTCTCTAAATAGCAAAAAAGGCCTTCAATGAACCGTGAAAGCACATCGCATCATTCCTATTTTAGCGACCAATTCCTTTCCAAAGAAATCAAATTTAACTTGCAAGAAAGCTTGCCAACCAGCTGTGAGAGCACGATCATACGAGGTTTGATCAAAATATATCGGGACTGGTACTATAAAAAGAACACTACTAGACATATCAATTCGGAATTTAATCTCCTTTGAAGTAGTCCCCTTCTCAAGCCGTACACTTTATCTGGTGTCGTTTCTATTGATGGAAGCACACCTGGAACTCCATTTTTTAGGATAACGAGCAGCTACCTCGCTTCATTATTTTGGATTTCTTCGATGTCATGAAATCTTGTTCCTTTCAATTGGGATTTTATTTTTGGAAAGAGGAAAATGTCTCAAGGGGCGAAATCTGGGGAAAATGGTAGATGTTGATCCTGGGGAATGCTGTGCTTAACCCCCACCCAAAATGCTGCAGAACTGCTGAATGAGCAGGTGCGTTGAAATGGTGGAGTTGCCACTCACTGAATGCATGGAATTTTGTATTTTCCGACAAACAGCAAAATGTCACGGCAGTGCTCCTTGTTTACTGTCGAACCAAGTGGAGCATAATGAACAGTGTCCCTGTAGTCGAAGAAAACTATCAACACTATCTTCACATTGCTTCAACACATTTGTACTTTCTTCGGTTTCGGAAAGGTTGAGGGTCTTCCACTGCGAAGACTGAATCTTGGTTTTGGAGGTCATAGCCATAGACCCATGTTTCATAACCTGTTATGACTGTTTTTAAAAAGTGTTCTGTTGTGCGTTGAGACGACCACATTCTACACAATTTCCTTTCAAAAAACGAAGGTGAGCGAAAACGTTAAACTTATTGTGTTATCATGACAGAATGAAAGGTCAGTCCCGATACTTTTTGATCAGACATCGTATAAATATTTTTCTCGCCAACCTGTCAGCACATCTGATTTACCTCACACTGTTTCGTCGACAACCAATTAAGTTATTCTTGAGGTTATAAAAGGAAATATTTTCATTATTAAACACAAAGAATATATATACGTGGATCTGCGACCAAAAAGTCATGCCTCAGTTGCTGATGGCGGCGCAGCATCTATTATGGCTGTATAGGCCTACACGAGAGTGACAGCCTCCATTGCGACGAATGCATGTGAAGACGCTCGCTTCCGATATTTTCTTCCTCTCGAGTACGCTTCACCCTGGCAGTACGTCTCCCTTTCTACTCTCTCCTCGTTTCAACCCTCGTTAGAAATCGCATCTTCAGTGTAAGCAATCGTTGGCGACATCTTTCCACCTCTCGATGTCCATGTCCATCGCAACCCATGTCCCGTTTGCAGACGTCCTTGAAGCGAAGACGATGTCACTCCTAGCGCCCACTTGCCGGTTGCAGTTCCCCATACAAATCTCCCATCATGTAGACTGTTTCTTCACGTGTTTTGCCTGTGTAGGGCTAGGCACGGTTTATAGGAGATTGGCAGTTGCCCACGCAGAGAATATGAGAAAAAAAGGAAAGGAAAAGAAAGATAATACTTGATGTAAATGAATACAAATTAATGGAAAGAGGTATATATATATATATATATATAGAGAGAGAGAGAGAGAGAGAGAGAGAGAGAGAGAGAGAGAAACACCCGTTTGCCAGAGTGACTCACAAATCCTTATTACAGACGCCCGCTCAAACCAAAGAGCTCACTGTGGTTTATACTGTTTTTTTTATGAAAGAGCACATAATCATTTTTTTTTAAAAAAGCCCATCAGATTTAAATCCTTTGTCACGATGACTTGTAACTTCGTGTTAGCTCAACCATCATTGGCCTCCGAACGGTTCTGTCCACTCAATTTTATTCACGCGGTTTGGGTTAAACTCTGGTATGGCCTTCAAGCACTTTCCAAATGTACCACGCACTGGGATCGCCTCCCTCGGCAGATACAAAAAAAAACAAAAAAAAAACACACACACACACACATCCCTAACAAAACGACCATAGTGAGATTCGAACCCGGGTCTCATGACCAGAAAGTGAACGTGCCCATATATATAATATATTTATACATGGAGACAGACAGACAGGTTGAATGCGGGGGTCAAGTTTTATTAGAATTATATTGACGACACGAGAAAGATGAGTGTAGTGAATTAAAGGAAAATAAGAGAAAAAAGATTTATGTTACGAGCGAGATTATTGCAAGATGTGAAAGGAAGTCTGTTTTCCTCACCTATCATAAAACAATTACCACGACATCCGTAAATTTTCTTTCTCCTTCCATCTATGGCTCCGAGATATACAAATAAACCACCCCAGAAAAAAAAAATTAATTGCGAATTTCTTAGGTGTCTATTTCCGAATTTACCATTTTACTTTTCTGGAGTTGCGATAAATTTTGATTTTTGAACATGGTCCGTGTGCTGAAATGCTTTCATGACACTGAACTCTTTCACGAGGACTGGCGTGAAGTCCTGGATAGGAAGTGTAAAAATCCTTAACAGGAGAAAAACACGTTTTCCATACGCGCCAACGAAGAGAACAGATCAGAGATCGCTTTGCTGCCCTTCAACTTGGTTTTCTTTATCCATTTTTCTTGATTTTTGACCTCTAGATCTGAACGGGGTGAAATCTGTCGGCGGAAATGGTCGTGTAAGAAAGGGAAAATGAAGTCATGAAATAAAATAAATACGTCAGTTAATGTTTAAGTAGAGCCACATTGACAACCCCCCCCCCAAAAAAAAACACAGCTGTTGGCAGTTTCTTTGTTTAGTGTTCATTTACTTTTTAAAAGGAAACTTTTTAATTTTATGATTCAGATTTTAATATAATACTCTCTCTTTCGGCTTTCATTTTCAACTATCAATTATTTGGATATTAAATCAGCATTATTATTACTTTCCATCGTGCAGAAAACTGAGAAATCCTTTAAAAAAAACGTTGAACAAACTGCAATGTCAGATAAAGCGCCATAAAGTTTGCTTTTTTTGATTTCTTTTCTCTGTTTTTGACTATATTTTTTCGTTCGTCTTTTTCTGTAAACACTTCGCATTTCCAGGAGAGACATATGGCCGAAACAGTATGAATGAGAATTATAAACAAACATTTCTTTCTGAATGTAAACAAAAATTTTAAGTCATGACCATGTTTTTATTTGTCATGTATAATAAACATGACAAATAAAAACATGCTGGGTCTGGCTGGTTTCTAATGCTTCTTCCAGACATACATGGAGATATAAATGACACCTCGACGTGGTATAATGATTAACAAACTTGTATCGCTGGAACAATTACGACTATATAGTGAGTTCAATCCTTATTGGTTGCCCCCTACTTTCAGCCTTGTGTCTCATCTAAGCTACGCTTAGAAAATACTGGCATAAATATATGCACCTCTTGGTATGATGCACACACACACACACACACACACACACACACACACACACACACACACACACACACTTATCTATGTCTGTCTCTTTGGTGTCCAAGATAGTGGTTTAAGTTACTACTGGTGCCAGTAATCGATGTCAGTCAAAAATTAGAATTTTGATTACTGATTTTCAAGACAGATATAACTGCATTTGTAATTTTCCGTACAAATTTATCTTCTTATGTGTCAGAGTACAAGACGAAGCCACACTTAATAAATCTTATATTGCTTTTCTATTTCTTACCAAATTCTCCTTTCCTTTTTTATTTTTGAATTTCAACTATTCCCTTCCTCGCCCACATTGTCTTCCGACACCTGAAAGTAATACGACCTTTTTTTTCTCTCCCTCTAATTTACGACCGTTCTAACATTGTTGTGTCGCTTGTACTCTTGGGGACCCGCCGTTTCCAAGGTCATTTGAAAATAGTTTTGATTTTCCTTTTGCCTGAACAACTTGAGTTAAAAATAAAATTTACCTTGCCTTTCAATATTAAAAAAAAATCACTCGACCGAATATTGCCAGTAAAGAATAAAAAAACAAAACAAAAAGACAAAAAACCCCCCAAAAAACACGAAACTGATGCAGCAATTATCTGTTTTCGTTTTGTTTACATTTATATTATAGGTATATGATATTGGTTACTTATGTTTATTTTTTTACGTTTGAGTTTAGAATATTTTTTGTGTGAATGAAAACTCCCTGGTGAAGTATTATAAACGAACAGTATGAATGTTATTTAGCATTACCGAAAAATTTGACAAAGAAGTATTAATTTTTCCTTAAACCAGTTAATCAAAAATATATACTATGATATTTACCACGTGAACTACGTTGAAAATAAAATGAGAAAGATATGGTATATAATTTTGTTTTTGAGCAAGGGTTCCTTGAAACATGTAATTTATTTTAAGGGTTAGGCAATGGTAAAAAGGTTAAGCAACGCTGTCTTAAACAAACATTATATATATATATATATATATATATATATATATATATATATATATATATATATAATATATATATTTTAACATTAGAATAATGGTTTTAAAAAGTGGGTTCGGCGGTCGATAACTTTTCAGCACTCCCTTATACATACAGACAGAGAGATATTTATATTGTTATTAATTGATAATATATAGGAATTGTATATATTCGTATTTCATATGGTTTCAACTCGCAGCAGGTATTTCCTTTTTAAAATAAAACCGAAATTAAAACAAGTTTAATTTTTGATAATTACTTTACAAAAGAATTCTAAATTATGATTCTATCTATCTATCTATCTATCTATCTATCTATCTATCTATCTATCTATCTGTCGAGAGAGATAGAGAGAAAGAGATTTACTAAGCGTAGCTTAGATGAGACACAAGACCGTATCCACTTGGGAATCGGTTCCACAAAGTAACGGTTCGCGGGAAAACATTGAATGAGATTCGAATGGAATTAGGACCGTTCGCTACAATGTAGGTGGCATGGCGGCTCTTAATTGTGAAGGTTAGATTTGATGGAATTATAGTTCGTCTGATCACTTTCCACGGAAATAACAATACATTAGCGAGAGGCTTGCACTGTGGTAAAGTGGTTGTATATTGAAAAATAATTCATCAGCCACAATACCGTGTAATCGCTTAGGGACTCGATTGATTTGTATATGAGATCTTTATACATATACGTATATAGTCTCCTATATACATAGATCGATCTTTGAGGGCTACAGGTTCTATTTAATCCAGTACAACCTGTTGCATGGTCGGATGACCAGCGACGAAAACCTGAGTGATGTGAGTTGCTAGATACCCTGTAGGACTAAGAGCAAATTCTATTAAAAAGGCGGATAAAACTTTTTATTTTACAGGTTAAACGTCCACCTAAACAATCTGAAAAAACCTGAAATTGATACCACTGCCGATCATCTTGTTCCTGTTTGTCATTGGATTCTGGTTGTCGATACTTACGGGGTACTATGTGTGTAGTACAAGCGCATGTCCTGCGTAAATGGAGATGTGACGACGTACAGAGACCTCGCGAGTTGGGAGTTTATAGTTACCGAGCTACACGTGAGAGGCTAACTATCATTCAAGCTGGGCTGAAAAATCATCCACTCTACCAGAGTCATCTACCAGTTCGACCCGCCATTGCAAACTGGATGGACGTCGTCCGCCATGACCTCCGGTCTATTAATGCCAAGACCGTGAGAGCTACAGGGACAATGTGGCTCTCGTGAGTTCAGCGCCTTCATAGCATCAGATTTAGCATCAGTAGCAGCAGTTGTGCGAGCACGAAGTCACAAATTATCGTGATCGAGGGTCTTGTAAAAAAAAACAAACAAAAAAAACAAAAAAACTTTGATTATGCCAGATGATACGCTTTCTCCTGGAAACTTAGGTCCACTCAGCGTAGTTGCAGTATAAATATCTGGTGGTCTCTGTGGGTCATGAATAAACAGATGTGTTCCTAAGCAGAAGTCTGCAAACAGGGACTGGCTAACCGCCTCAGTAGACGAGTATACCCTCAAATGAGTAGCTGGCCATTATTTTATACATGTATATATTTGTATGCATGTAAGTGTGTGCGTATATATATATATATATATATATATATATATATATATATATGCATACGTGGATTATGTAATGGATAGCGACTTGGAATAAGAAATCGGGGAGCCTATTTACTTCCATACATACCAAAATACTCTTGGGATAGGTATGAATCCTCCGCTATGGGTTAAATAGTAGAACAGACTCGGGTCTTAAACCTTGGTTGGCAGCCACTCTAGGAGAAGAGTGTCATTTAAAATCCACTATTTTATTATTATATCTATTTATCATCCGATTAATTGATTAATAATACTTTTAGCAACTGCTTAAAAACTGACGACTTAATTTCTAAAAATTCCGATTATTCTGACGTATAAGCTTACACATCATTCATAAAGAGGTTCATGTTGCAGTTCATTTTAAGACTTTATTTGCACTGATCTGAGTTTCACGAAAAATTCATTTTCATCGTGCTTTTCAAACCTTTCTCTATGGCTGCTGTAGAAGAACATGCCTATTCCGTATTTGTCACATGTAGGGACATTTCGAATCAAACTCTTTATTCAATCCAATAGGGGAGATAACTCGTATTAGATTTCTCCTCCTGATGCAGCTTCCACTAAAGTAGAGGATATGCATTTTAATATTTAAGCCAAGGATGATCATGCAACTGCATATCTTTAACTAACACTAACATCCACTGTTGTTCCATAGTTTGAGAGCAAAATATGTGTTTCTGTCTAATCCTCAAATAAGACAAACATATTGACCATTGAAATGTTGTGACTATAAAAACAAATTTCACGACACCTTTTCGAATAAATCAGTGTATAATAGAAAATGAAAATAACAAAGCAGAGAGGCATTAATATTTTATGTCTTTCCTCTCTTATTTTATCACTTTCTCCTGTGTCCTCTCGTGCACACGGACTAGTGCAAGTGTCAAAAACATCCATCAATATTTTGTGTATGATACAAAGCTAAATCATCACCTTGTGAGGATCGAATTCACTAAACTAGCAAGTGGTCTGCAAGATTAGCTCGCTAATCATCAATCTACGACGAACGTCTTGAACATTTTACTAAGCATAGCATAGTCTGGCACAAGACCACAAAAGTATGTGTGAGTAGATAGTGAGGATCTTCAAAACAGCAAAGGCTACCTGCATACACCTACAACTGAGCTTTGAGCATTCATACCCTCTGACATACATCGTATATATCCATTTGTAGCTAAGAAACTGCTTCTTAAGCTTACTTATGTATTGTAAACAAAACTGTTTAAAAATATTATTTGTACACGTTTATACGTATGCATATTTAATAAATCTACATCTACTCTCTCACACACAGTCACATACTTTCATACAAGATATTTTCTTAAACATATACACCCGCACATACACGTACACACACGTTTATATAAAACATTTTCTCTCTTTCTCTCTGACGCAGACACACACACGTTTATGTAAGACATTTTCTCTCCTTCTCTCTCTCAGACACGTTCATACAAGACATTTTCTCATTTTCTTTCTCTCTCTCACTTTCATATACACAGATTCATTCAAGACATTTACTTTCTCTCTCACTCACGTTTGTAAAAATATTCTCTCTCTCAAGTTAATACATTTTTTCTCTCTCTCAACACACACAAGTCGTATAAGACATTTTCTCTCTTTCTCGCTTTCGCATACACATACACACACAGATTCATACAAGATATTTACTTTCGCTCTCGCTCACAGGATATTTTCGCTCTCGCTCACAGAATATTTTCTCTTTTTCTCAAGCACACACACCCCATCAAAAAATATATAAACTAAATTGAATAATATCGCATTTCCCACAGCCACACAGCATACACGTCCGCTGGCTTATTCATACGAAAAGATTGAAACAAGTAAGCAAGCATAAGCGTTTCAAATTGCTTTAATTTCGTTGTCTTTAATCACGAATGAAAAATTAAAAAAAAAAGACCTTGGAAGTTTTAGTGTTTTTGCATTGCACATCGTTTCCATTGAGTCATAAACGTTCTCTTTTTTTTCCAATTGACAATGAATAACTTTTTAGGTCAACAAGCTCGGAATCTACCAAAAAACACCCACGGCTCTTGCACCCGCTGATAACTTTTAATTTTGTAACTTAATAGGCAGAGTTACAAAGTGTCGCAACAACAGACATGACCTAGTTTATATCTTTTTTAAATGCTGCTTTCATATTTTCCTTTGTTAATATTATTCTTTTCTGCTTATTTCCACATTGCTTTATAGATGCATGTGTATGCATTCATGCCTATCTACACATATTTCTTTAGAAACAGAAGTAGATAAGGAGAAACCCAGACCTAGATAGATAGATAGATAGACAGAAACCCAGTCATAGATAGATAGATAGATAGATAGACAGACAGAAACCCAGACCTAGATAGATAGATAGATAGATAGATAGATAGATAGATAGACAGACAGAAACCCAGACCTAGATAGATAGATAGATAGATAGATAGATGATAGACAGACAGAAACCCAGACCTAGATAGATAGATAGATAGATAGATAGATAGACAGACAGAAAACCAGACCTAGATAGATAGATAGATAGATATAGATAGATAGATAGATAGATAGAATAGACAGACAGAAACCCAGACCTAGATAGATGAGACAGACAGAAACCCAGACCTAGATAGATAGACAGACAGAAAAACCAGACCTAGATAGATAGACAGACAGAAACCCAGACCTAGATAGATAGATAGATAGATAGATAGATAGATAGATAGATAGATAGACAGACAGAAACCCAGACCTAGATAGATAGATAGATAGATAGATAGATAGACAGACAGAAACCCAGACCTAGATAGATAGAAAGATAGATAGATAGATAGATAGATAGACAGACAGAAACCCAGACCTAGATAGATAGACAGACAGAAACCCAGACCTAGATAGATAGACAGACAGAAACCCAGACCTAGATAGATAGATAGATAGATAGATAGATAGATAGATAGATAGACAGACAGAAACCCAGACCTAGATAGATAGATAGATAGATAGATAGATAGATAGACAGACAGACAGAAACCCAGACCTAGATAGATAGATAGATAGATAGATAGACAGACAGAAACCCAGACCTAGATAGATAGACAGACAGAAACCCAGACCTAGATAGATAGACAGACAGAAACCCAGACCTAGATAGATAGATAGATAGATAGATAGATAGATAGATAGATAGACAGACAGAAACCCAGACCTAGATAGATAGACAGACAGAAACCCAGACCTAGATAGATAGACAGACAGAAACCCAGACCTAGATAGATAGATAGATAGACAGACAGAAACCCAGTCATAGATAGATAGATAGATAGAAACCCAGAAAAATTTTACTTAAAGATTTAGTTGATCAGTGTCAGGCTATAAATTCCACTCGACTTCGTTGCAAATACTCTTGGGAACGGTACGAATTTATCTCTCCCCACAAGATATGTGGAGGCGAATTGGCAACCATTCTACTACAGAAAGAAATGGCAGCCTACTGCGGGAAAATCTGCTGCGTTAATCATGAATTGAAAGTATGGCACTTCACTTTTCGTACATAGAAAGTAGAGAAATGTTGAAGAAAATCCAAGATGGATATTCTTCTTTTGTGTCGTATCCCTACAGGAAGATCACGGCTCTTTACAACTTCGTCTCCGTTTGTAGCTCGAAGCAATGTTTGTTCCTGTACTATAGGTCCCAGTCCTGAAAAATTAACAAATAAAAAAAAATACAACATTTTAGGAAATAAAAGAAAGAGCAAAGCAACACGAAAATAAGGAAGGAAGGAAGGATAAAAACAGAAATATAAATAGTAATATAAAGAGTAATGGAATAAACAGGAAGAACAAATATTGAAGACAGAAAAAAAAAAAAAGAAAAAGAAAAAAAGAATGGCAAAAAGAAAGTGAAAATAACGTCGAAACTAAAGAAACTGCTGAATGTTGTCATTTTCAACAGCCAAGCGACACAAGTAGCATTTTGGGAGTGGTTGATAAGTCTGATATTGGTTGCCTTCAAAACATTATTTTGAAATATTTTAACTTAGATTATTTTGGATTAATTTACATTTACCTCTTGCCACTTTTCTTTTTTGTGTTTCCGCTCATTTTTTTCTTTTTTTTATATTTTTTTTGTTTCGTTCGTCTGTTTCCGTCCCTCCCAATTTGTTTCCATTTCTATAAGCCGCACTTCTCTTTATAGTCCCTCACTTATGTAACTCTATTTTATTGTTACCATGCGTTTCTTCTTTAATCGTCAGTAAATTAAAAAAAAAAAAAACATAAAAAATCAAAAACGAAAAAACAAAAAACGAAACAAAAACGCGATAAAAATAATAAAACTATAAACCGGGAAAATGATTAATAAAAAGGAGAAATATTTTTACATATTGCAAGATTCCTATCCATATATAACGACTTGGTAGAATTAAATAAAATCAGTATATATATATATATATATATATATATATATATATATATATATATATATATATATATATATATATAGGTTCATACTTTACAAGGCCACTCGAGATAGAGGGTTACGTTTGGATAACATTTGTGTGTAGCGGGGTGGCCTTGAACAGGTTAAGATTGTAATGGGAGTCAGTTCCATAGGGCAGTAGTTAGCGGGAAGAAGCTGTTCGAGTGGAACTTATTTCTCACCGATGGAATACGGAGAGAATGTTGGTGGTTTGTTACTATGTAAGTGGCATGCCGTGTTCTTGCCGTGAAAGTTTGATTTGGTGGAGCCAAGGAATGTAGTTCGTCTGAGTACTTTCCGTGGAAGTAGCGATAGAGTAACGAGAAGCTTGGCACATCTTGCCTGTGGGAGAGAAGTTGAAGGGTAGGGAACAATTCATCATCCACAAGCGCTTTTGGACTCTATCAAGGCTGGAGAGTGAGGTATGGCCAGCTCCCGCCCAAATATGTCAACAGTATTCCATTTTTGGCCTAGTCTGGCTCTTGTAAAGGTAGAGGATATCAGGAAGAGATATTTTTGGCGCAGTACAGGGAGTTGATCATTTTACCTGCATCCTTAGCAATGGATCGTACGTACGAGTTCTACTTGAGGTCGGGTGTGAGTTTGGAAGTTCAACAGTCCTGCAAGGCACGGTGCTTCCCCGAGAGGACTTCTGTGGTAGTTTGGATTCAGGTTGGCGATGATGGAATGTAACTAGCTTGGTCTTCGAGGCATTGAATGTAACCAGCCAGTTTTTACTCCATTGGGTAGTTTAGGCAAGATCGGATGAGAGATCAGCTGCCAATCTTTGATCGTCAAGAGTTTTAGAGGTGCGCCAGTATATAGTTGTATCATCGGCATAGATGTTTACAAATGACCTGAGCATATTCTTAGGCAGATCATTTAAGTAACTCAAAAAGAGGCTTGCTCCGAGGAGTGACTCCTGGAGGATTTCTTAGAGAACTGACATTGTTTCCTAAATAATGCATTAAAAAAACCAAGAAAACTGGACAGATTAAGGGTAAATAAACTAGTTTTATGTAACTTTTCAGTATATTTTCAAGTTGGAAGCTAATTTGTCATGTATTTGAGTCTAGCATACAATCAAAAAATTTGAAAAGAAGACAAAACTACACATAAAATTAAAAAGTAGAAAATTGAAAAAGGAAATGACAGTTAAAAAAATGAAGGGAAAACGAATTTCTCTAATAACATTGGTACGATTTCAAATCTAATCGCGTGACAAAAAATCTGTTTGATCATGGAATTTTAAGTTTAAATTGTTTTTCATTCATGTTACACCAGAATCATAATACACACGAAATACACATGCAATATATATATATATATATATATATATATATATATATATATATATATATATATATATATATATATATATATGGTAAGTAACTGAATGACAAAAACGGTAAAAAATCGTATGTTACGCGTTTCGTCCTTGAAAAGAAATGTTTAAAAATGTTACATAGGAGTTTTTCTTTTTGTCATTCAATTACCCATCATTAGTTTGATATATAGAGTTTATATATCATATTCTCTCCCTCCCACATATATATTAAGAAAGTAACTCAACGGTTATCTTTTGCAGAAAGTGGAATCACAGAATTGAGTTCAAACTACCGCCTACTTTGTTGCGTTCACTTTCGTACAAGCGTCCTTGGGAAAGGTAGGAATCCATTTCTTCTACTCTAGCTGCAGTTAAATAGCATGGTAGACTTGAAACTTGTATTTTAAGTTACAACCAGTTTAGAAGAAAGCTTTGAATTCAAAATCCACTGAGAAGTCAATGGGAAACTACTTCACTATATTTCCCAAGAAGTCAAGGCAATTCACAGTTCAAGGTCAAAGTCCACAAGAACAGAATACGCTTTCATTTTCACATAGCAGTTCCTGTAGATTCTAATGTATCTGATGATCTTAAAAAAAAACTATCAAAATACAAGTGGAAATCTCAGGAATGTGGCACATAAGGACATCAATAATTCCAGTTGTGGTTGGATCCCTCGGATTGATTGGAAAAGGTTCCGATAGACTTAGTTAAAGGATTCCTGGTAGGCCAAGCCTTAAAGAAATACAAAAATTGTACTTTCAAGTACAGCTCACACATTAAGAAGAGCTTTATTTACGTAAAATGTGTGTGATCTTATTTTTTTTTCTACAAAAATGATCAGTTGAAAATGTCATGAAGCCATTTCTAATCTTAGGTCTCTGGTTGGAAGGAAATGTGCAGACAACAGAAATGAAAAGAAATATTAATAATAATCAAGAAAGGTAGAATTACAGAAACACCCTTAATAGATTTAGATTTTGTCACAAAGATTAGGGAAATGGAGCATGGTGAAGCTTATAAGTACCTAGGAATTAGCGAAGGAGATGGTATACAACACCCCCAAATGAAGAAAAAATAAGAAAAGAGTACTACAGGCGTGTACGTCTGGTACTAAATACTGAGCTAAACTCAAAAAACAGAATATCAGCCATAAACACATTGGCTGTCCCTGTGGTGCAATACAGCTTTAATGTCCTTAACTGGACCATAGCTGAAATTAAGAGAATGGACATAAAACGAGAAAAGCTTCTCACTTGCTATCGCATGCATCATCCCAAAGCTGATGTTGATCGTCTGTATGTGCCCAGATTTGAAGAAGGCAGAGGATTAGTTCAACTAGAACTGTCCTACAAAACTACAACAATTGGCCTCCAAAGATATTTGGAAACTACAGAAGACTGGATGATGGTATGCGTCAAGGAACATGAAAGTAGTAAGCGTCTTTACTCCGTAATGAAAGAAGCCAACAAATTCAAAATGGAGTTTCAAATGGGCGTAGGGATGCAACTACAGCATAATACACCTGTTACAATTCTATGGGACTACACAATACACACTGACAGAACAATCAAGGCCAACCGCCCAGATATTGTTATTAAAGACCACAAACAAAAACGGTGCCTCCTTATTGATATGGCAGTACCTGCTGATTGCAATGTATCTTTGAAGATATTCAAAAAATTGTCAAAATACAAGGACCTTGAAATAGAAATCTCGAAAATGTGGCATATGGGAACATCAACAATCCCTGTTGTAGTTGGAGCCCTAGGACTGGTTGGAAAAGATTACAGTAGACTAATTGAAGGGATTCCTGGAAGTCCATGCCTCAAGGAGATACAAAAAATTGTTCTGACAAGTACAGCCCACACTTTACGAAGGGCTTTATCTATGTAATTTAAATTTTTTTTTTTTTTGTCAGTGGAAAGTATCATGACGCCATTTTTAACCTTAGGTCCCTGGGCGGGACCCGGAAAGAAATGTGTAAACGCCAGAAATCAAAGAAAATAATAATAATAATAATAATAATAATAATAAAAAGTAATTTGGAGAACCTTGAACACTTACACCTTGAAAGGACACAGCATTAAAATAATAATAATTAAAATCTATGATCTATTTCTTCTTGAAATATTTGAAAAAATTTTCTCCAATTTAGCAACACCGATTTTTTTCTCATTTTGTTTAAGCAAAAACCGTTTCAGACAAAACTGTCACCGAAAATAAATGAAAATATTTTAGACATTAATAAAAAAATCACAAATAATTCTAATTTGTATGTAAGAAAACGATTAAAAATTATTCAATTATATCTATTATAAATTATTATAGAAGACTATCAATTATGTCTAGTGGCAATTATATCTATTATAAATTATTATAGAGGAATTATTCGCTTATTCAATGTATTGCTAATTAGAAAGTCTTAATATTTACTTCCCTTTCAAAATTTCTGTCAACAAACGAAAGTTGTTGATGTGACCAAAATTGGCGTAATTGGATAAAGTTTTGCTCTTTTAGTTCCAGCAGAGAGTTTATATTTTGTGACTGCATAAAAAGTTAAGATGCCAAACCAGAACTTGTCCTGAATTAGGCTTCCTTATGTTTAGTCCTCTTTAACACCAGACTCCACCCATTCATCATCCTTTATACCATGTTGACCGCCAGCTTTAGTACAGTTCATTAGGTACATATACTGGTCTATTTGCATCCCCTTCTCTAGCAGCTGACAGTGCAGTTAGCTATCCCCTTTACGCCATCTGGTGTAGACAGGCAAATCATTCAGCCAATGGCCTGCTCCCTATTGTTGTCTATCTTCCAGCCATGCCCCTATTTAAACATTGTTTATGCATGAGGCTATGTGTAAGAGAGTGTGTCAGAGAACGAGTGAGAAGGATCAAAATAAAATTTTAAGAAACGTTATTTTGCTTATAAAATTTAGAATGCTAATCAGAAAGGCCAAACCACAGTTTGCTTATGACTGGCTTAAACGATAACACGCAAGTAGATTTTATATGTAGTATGTGTACATTTTAGTTTCTCAAGCGAACGTACACACTGAATTGGTGTCATCTCTCTGGCAAAGAAGTTAATGTTTAAAATATTTTCTTCCAAGCATCTTTGAACGGAACGTAACGTT